TCCTTATTGACCTGCAAATTATTTTTTATATTCATTCTTTGCGTAATTAATGGGAAAAAGGTTAATCTTGATTGATAGAGAAATTTGTAAAATTTTTAAAAAATCATCGGTGGTACTAAAACATTGACCTTTTAGAGGTTTCACATTATTTTAATGAACTTTCTAGTCGATTAATTTTCTTCAATTAAATGCATCTTGAACTATTATTTTAATTAGTTATTATTTTACGATTACTTAGTGACTAAGAGGTCAGAAAACTTGGTTTAAAAATAGAATTCATTTATTAAAGATTTTTAAAAAATTCAAACTTCATTATTAGTAGTAAAAATCTGAACTATTTCAAGAAAATTTCCCATATTTAAACAATATAAATTCCATGTCTAGCTTTTATGGTTTGGTAACCAAGTTTGATAATTTTACAAAAAAAGTACCTACTTACCTCTACAATCAATAATTATTAATCCATTATTGAAAAAAAAAAATTAAAATCCATACACCAAAAAATCACAAAAATTCACCACCAAGTAAATTAATCAATCTTCACGCCGCCTTCGCAGACGAACCAAAAGAAAACAATAGGTAGTACCCAAAGCAAAAAGACGCTTCAACCTTCAACTTCAAGCTCAATGGGTGAAAGCACCCGCCGATGCACTCCTCTTTCTTCTTGTGGTACGCGTACCAACTAAAACCGTACCGAGGTACTTGTAATCATACGCAATTTTCCAATGTCAATTGCGGAAACGAATGAACCGAAGAAAAAAGTGAAGATGGATTTTATAGGTGCAAACCGTAGGGGGTATTTGGTACCATCATAATATGGTACTTGGTTGCAGGAAGCCTATTTGTATGATTGGACGGGTTTTTGGATTCACTTTTCTGTCTGGTATGCGGAATAAAAGCGAAACTTTTTATAATGATATTTTGCCGGGTTCATACATTTTACCTGAACTTTGATTATTTTTACTTTTACTCTCAATCCAAGCTAGATTTTGGTGTTTACATTATTTAGTGTAAAAGTTTATTCCCTTGGCACAGTGTTATCAGATGTCAAATTTAAAATTATCAGGATTTGAGAACAAAATTATCAGATTCCAAGAAAAATTATCAGAAAAAGTTTCTGTCAACTTTTTTGACTTTTCATCTCTATTTTCATTTTTCGGGTTCTAGCTGGGACTCTGGCAATTGTAGGTCTCAATAAGAGCTTCAAAAAAGGTTATTCAAGACTTTCAAGATAATCGGCTTTGAAGCTTTTGCAAAATTTGAAAACAGAGTTTTAACTTTGAGCCTCAATATCTTCAAAAGTAATTAAGATATAGAATTGAATCTTATTTTATCTTGAAGATTATTTAATTCTGATTCAGAATATATAATTTTACATCATATTTGTTACAATAATAACCGAGTAATCAGCAATTTTGTGAAAGAATGTCAGATTATTGAAATTTTTTGAGCCCAAAAATTGCAAATATCGTTTTTATTTTTTTACAAGCCTTAAAACAAAGTTGCGTAAATGCTTTTTCACTAATTTTCACCTTTTCTTTTGATTAGTAAAGTCAAAAATTGCAAAATCCAAAAATTTAAAAATTCGAATTTTTCCAAAGGGGTATGGATGGAAATTGAATTTTCAAATATATCAAATGCTTGTATTTTGGAAACCAGTTGAGCTATTGGCATGAATCTTTTGCCCAATTGCAGCTCTTAATAAAGGATACAAAAAAGGTTATTTAAGACTCCGAGCCCAAGGGCTTCGTTTTCAAGATAATCCGCCTGAAAGCTTTTGCAAAATTTGAGATAAAGTTTCAACTTTGAGTCTCAATATCTTCAGAAGTATTTAAGATATAAAATTGAATCTTATTTTATCTTGAAGATAATTTAATTCTGATTCAGAATATATAATTCTACATTATATTTGTTACGATATTAACCGAGTAATCAGCAATTTTGTGAAAGAATGTCAGATTATTGAAATTTTTTTGAGCCCAAAAATTGCAAAAATCGATTTTATTTTTTAACAAGGCTTTACAATCCAAAAAGGAAAGTTTCGAAAATGTTTTACTACTAATTTCAACCTCTTCTTTCGATTGGTGAAGTTAAAAATTCGAAAAACTGGAAATTTGAAAATTCGAACTTTTCCAAAGGGGTATATGCATGGAAATTTGATCTCCAAATATTTCAAAGGGCCATATTTTGGAAACCAGTGAAGTTATTGGTATGAATCTTTTGCCCAATTGTAGCTCTTAATAAGGGCTACGAAAAAGGTCATTTAAGACGCCGAGCCCAAGGGCTTCGTTTTCAAGATAATCCGCCTGAAAGCTTTTGTAAAATTTGAGATAAAGTTTCAACTTTGAGCCTCAATATCTTCAGAAGTATTTAAGATATAAAATTGAATATTATTTTATCTTGAAGATAATTTAATTCTGATTCAGAATATATAATTTTACATTATATTTGTTACGACATTAACTGAGTAATCAGCAATTTTGTGAAAGAATGTCAGATTATTGAAATTTTTTTGAGTCCAAAAATTGCAAAAATCGTTTTTATTTTTCAACAAAGCTTTAAAACCCGAATAGGAAAGTTGCGGAAATGCTTTTCTACTAATTTCAACCGCTTCTTTCGATTGGTGAAGTCAAAAATTCGAAAAACTGAAAATTTAAAAATTCGAACTTTTCCAAAGGGGTAGGTATGCATGGAAATTTGATTTCCAAATAGTTTAGAGAGCCATATTTTGGAAACCAGTGAAGTTATTGGTATGAATCTTTTGCCCAATTGTAGCTCTTAATAAGGGCTACGAAAAAGGTCATTTAAGACGTCGAGCCCAAGGGCTTCGTTTTCAAGATAATCCGCCTGAAAGCTTTTGCAAAATTTGAGATAAAGTTTCAACTTTGAGCCTCAATATCTTCAGAAGTATTTAAGATATAGAATTGAATCTTATTTTATCTTGTAGATAATTTAATTCTGATTCAGAATATATAATTTTACACTATATTTGTTACAATATTAACCGAGTAATCAGCAATTGTGTGAAAGAATGTCAGATTATTGAAATTTTTTTGAGCCCAAAATTGCAAAAATCGTTTTTATTTTTTAACAAAGCTTTAAAACCCAAAAAGGAAAGTTACGAAAATGTATTTCTACTAATTTTAACCTCTTCTTTCGATTGGTGAAGTCAAAAATTCGAAAAACTGAAAATTTAAAAATTCGAACTTTTCCAAGGGGGTATGCATGGAAATTTGATTTCCAAATATTTCAAAGAGCCATATTTTGGAAACCAGTGAAGCTATTGGTATGAATATTTTGCCCAATTGTAGCTCTTAATAAGGGCTACAAAAAAGGTCATTTAAGACGCCGAGCCCAAGGGCTTCGTTTTCAAGATAATCCGCCTGAACGCTTTTGCAAAATTTGAGATAAAGTTTCAACTTTGAGCTCCAATATCTTCACAAGTTTTTAAGATATAGAATTGAACCTTATTTTATCTTGAAGATAATTTATTTCTGATTCAGAATATATAATTTTACATAATGTTTGTTATAATAATAACCGAGTAATTAGCAATTTTGTGAAAGAATGTCAGATTATTGAAATTTTTTTGAGCCCAAAAATTGCAAAAATCGTTTTTATTTTTTAACAAAGCTTTAAAACCCAAAAAGAAAAGTTACGAAAATGCTTTTCTACTAATTTTAACCTCTTCTTTCGATTGGTGAAGTCAAAAATTCGAAAAACTGAAAAGTTAAAAATTCGAACTTTTCCAAAGGGGTAGGTATGCATGGAAATTTGATTTCCAAATATTTCAAAGAGCCATATTTTGGAAACCAGTGAAGTTATTGGTATGAATCTTTTGCCCAATTGTAGCTCTTAATAAGGGCTACAAAAAAGGTCATTTAAGACGCCGAGCCCAAGGGCTTCGTTTTCAAGATAATCCGCCTGAAAGCTTTTGCAAAATTTGAGATAAAGTTTCAACTTTGAGCCTCAATATCTTCAGAAGTATTTAAGATATAGAATTGAATCTTATTTTATCTTGTAGATAATTTAATTCTGATTCAGAATATATAATTTTACACTATATTTGTTACAATATTAACCGAGTAATCAGCAATTGTGTGAAAGAATGTCAGATTATTGAAATTTTTTTGAGCCCAAAATTGCAAAAATCGTTTTTATTTTTTAACAAAGCTTTAAAACCCAAAAAGGAAAGTTACGAAAATGTATTTCTACTAATTTTAACCTCTTCTTTCGATTGGTGAAGTCAAAAATTCGAAAAACTGAAAATTTAAAAATTCGAACTTTTCCAAGGGGGTATGCATGGAAATTTGATTTCCAAATATTTCAAAGAGCCATATTTTGGAAACCAGTGAAGTTATTGGCATGAAACTTTGGCTCAATCTGGGACTAGTGTTTGGTACTCGCACCAGTACGTCAAAACTCCCAAAACCAACAACCATCTTCAATTTTTTAATAAATTTTTACAGCTGTATGCAACATCCTCTTTTAACTTAAAAGCGCTTTTTAAAACTGGTCACTTTTAAGATTCTATATTCTAAGCTATGCAAATTTTTGAAGGTACCAGTTTTAAAAAGCGCTTCTAAGTTTAAAGAGGATGTTGCATACAGCAATTAATTTTTAACTAGAAATTTGAAAAATCTATATTAAAATTGTAGTTTCAATAAATTATGGTAGATTAGCTTGTCATTATCGATTATTGAATCGTAGTCAAAATTATGGTAGAATTCAATAATTATCGGGTCATTGGCAACACTGCGTTGGCAAAACATTTTTGTCGATATTCAAAAGGTATTGGTATGAAAATGCTTGGATAACCTGGCAGTGTTCCTTTTACCTGTAATTATTTTATATTCGATCCGATGTTTTTCTAGCTGAATAAATAGTTCATAGTAATAAGTTAAGGTCAGTTTTAATTGACTAAAACTGCTGGATACAAAATTCTGAAAAGAAGTAAGAGAAAACAAAGACCAAGAAACTATAATAAAATCTTGAATTTGGTTTTTAAGAAAAAATATACGTATCTATGAGTATTTACACCATCTATATTGTTTTTATTGGAGAATACAAAATATATAAAAAGGAAAAAAAAGTACAAACTCATGGCTATAAATGAGCTATTTGCGCCTTAAACATTATAAAATCTCACATTTACAAAGTCGGCATCATTAAAATTTACCAAAGGAAACGACAGATGTAAAGCACCATACAAAATGTAGGTAAAGTAGTGAAAACTCAAACACGTATAGCAATATTTATTTTGGAGAGCCAGATTCGTTTTCGTTTGACACGAATTGCAATTTACTCATCGTCAATTATGTGTTTTCGTCCAGCGGGCGCAGCAAATTTGAAACTAAGTTTTCTGTCGGTTAAAAATTCCATTGAAATGTCTTCTTCGCATTCGATTTCGTTTTTGTCGTCGCACATCAGGCCCGGAGGGCAAGATTGTAGAACTCTACAAACGTTCTGGTAATTTTAGAGTTGAAATAATGGAAAATCGTATTTACCCTGTATTGAAATAGTTTCCTTTTTCATCGCTGATGCATTCGTAAAAGCTTGTGGCGTCTTGGCAAATAAATGATTTTTTGGAACATTTTACTTCTTTGCATTGGGCAAACTAAGTAAATAGGTACATATTTTTATATTAACTGTTATAGTTTAACTCTACCCAATAAAACTTACCCTAATAAATACAAAAATAACCACCACAACTAACGGAATAATGTATTTCATATTTTACAGTAATTATACGCAATATCAAAATGTTAACAGACTCGACAAAAATAGTAGCATTAAAAGTTTTGTTTATACTTAATTAAAATTAATCTAAGAATTTCTCTCTTGTATGTTATCTATTGTTTGGTTTATTAATAAATGAATAAATAATTATATTTTTCGGTAATTGAATTGGCGAGAGAAATAAAAGAAAAATATCATCGAGTGAAAGTTGGAAATGGGTTATCAATAATAATTGCGGAAAATATTGAAATACTAATAATAACCCACATGCTGTGACTATTTTATGTAATATTAAGATTTATGAAATAAAATGGTTCTCAAGGTACAATTAAGTGGAGCAAGAACTCACTGGAAGTTGTGCACAATCTTGCAACAATGCTGTGAGTTTGTGACAAAAGAAAACGAATTATCTGCAAGAAAATTTGATTTCCTAATATTTCCCAGGACTATATTTTGAAAGTTAAAAAACCTATCGGCACGAAATTTTGTATTATTGTTAATCTCGATTGGGGTACCAAGCCCTAAGGCTCCGTTTTTTAGAATAATCAGGTATGAAGGTTTCCAAAATTTGAGACAAAGTTTCAACTTTGAGGCTCAATATCTCGAAAACTATTTGAGATAAATGATTCTATTTTCTTTCATCTTAAAGAGTATTTAATTCTAATTGAAAATATACCTACATCAGAATTTTTATAATATTTATTAAGTTATAGAGGTAATGTCAGCTGATCAAAATTCAAAGCTTTGTTACCTAAATTTCCCATGGTGTTGTTTTTGATGGAATAATTTTAAAAAATTATTATAATGAGCTCTTCATTTTCATCTTTTTAGCGTTAAAGTTTCATAAGTTTCCCAGTAATTTTCCAGGAAAATATTACAAATGTGAGCGATTTCATATTTGCTTAATTTTGATTTTCCAAGTTGATTTTCATGAATTTCTCATGTTGTTGTTTTTCACTGAAAAAATTTTAAAATTTTAGTATGATAAGCTCCTAATTTCCGTCTTCTTATTCTAAAAGTTTCATAATTTTTCCTTCAGTAGTTTCACAGAAGCATATTAAATTCTAAGAGATTGCATTTTTACTTAATGCCCTTAGAAAAACTTCAATTTTGATTTTTCGAAATTTTTCATCTTTTGAATTCACCATTTACCAATCAAAAGAGGGGGTCAAATTTAGTAGAAAAGCATTCTGGTGATTTTTTTTCTCGAAGTTTTAGGCCCTGAAAAAAATTAAAAATGATTTTTGCCCTGAAAAAAAATCATCTTACATTACCTCATGAAATCGCTCATAATTCAGTCACAAATTCTACTACATATTCATATATTCTTCATCAAAATTAAGCGCTCTTTAAGATAAAGTTAAATTGAATAATTTATCTCAAATAGTTTTTGAAATATTGAGCATCAAATTTGAAACTTTGTGTCAAATTTTCGAAAATCTTCAAAGCCAATTATCTCAAAAATGAAGCCTTTGGGCTCGATGCCACAAATTAACTTTTTACAAGCGTTCAGTTTACATAGTACTTATTTACATAAACTTAACATGATGGCATAAAAATTATCTCAGACTTGTTCACTGGGAAATAAAGCAGAACTCACTGGAAGTTGTGTAGAATTTTGCAACACTGCTCTAAATTCTTGACCAATTAATTGGACAATTCTAGAAGCAAAATCGACGACCGATTAATATAGACAAATAATGTATAAAACACTATAGTAAAAAAGTGAGTTAAACTTTTAAGACTTTTTGCATATAAATATATGTTTTTGATTTTAATTAATATATAAATGCAGCTGTTCTTTTGTGAATAAGTTTAAAGCCACCTTTCAGTTGCAGCTGCAAACTTTCCTCTCTACACACGATCCCAAATTAGTGTCCATATGTCAGGTGCAGGTGATTCATTTTCGGACAAAATAATTATGAAAACTAAACAGAGGAAAATCCCAAAATAAATTTAATGACTCTAGAAAATGTCCAAGTGTGTGTTTGCTGAATTATTTATTCGGTGTTTATATTCAATTCAACTACCGTGCATAATAATAAAGATTCTATTTTCACTTTTTTTTTTTGATTTCGAATCTATCCATTGTATTCAAAATAAGATGTGTAATGGTTTCAAATTACATAGTTCAAAATTAAATCAAAAAATTTGTATTAATTTTTTTTTATTAAAAACTTTTTATACTATAGTGTCACGCAAATAAAAGCATATTATTATATAAAACATATAATCACTATCTAAAGCCTATAAAAATTTCCCTAAAATATTACTTATATGTATTTTTAAGAAGACTATAAGATATAACGAAAATTATATAGGAACAATCTTTTTTTTTGTCATATGTGTGCTTTATTTATTTCGATCTTGTGTATCTACGTCTACATTTTTGATTCGTATTTTGCGTAAGAAAGCCTTAATGAGGACCCACTTGCAATCTTTTGCTTTTTTGCCAGATTTGACATTCATAGACTTACAAATAGGCCTGCCAGGGGCGGATACAGGCCTTTTGAAAGGGAGAGGCAGTTTAAGTTTAAGTAAGCCAGATTGGGTTAGTTTGGGTTAGAATGGCCCATAAAAATATGGAAATAGGGGAACTATTTAGGAGAATAAGGTGGTTTTTGATAGGTAGGTACTAGGTGTTTTTTCATATATTGACACCCCACCTTCTTTTTTGAGCTAACAAATCAAACCTCCCATTGTTATTTAAAATTGATGGAAACCTATGGAAGGATATTGTATCCCTTGCGTTATACTGCCACAATTAACAACTAAACAAACTCTAGGCATGTCCAAGAAACTTCTGGACCACACAAAAGGTATTTAATTAAAAAAATCTAACTAGAAACCTAAAAAACCACTGTAAATATATCTTTGTTTTACCTCAAGGCGACTGTCAATAGTGTCAAACTGTCAGATCGTGTACTTACCCTATACTGTACAACTTTTATATTTACACCTTTCATCCAAGGGCGGTTTAAAGGGAGGGATAGAAAGGGTAATTACCCCCTCCTCCCCAGATAAATATTTTTTTTAAAACATTTAATAATTACAACAAAATTTCAACAAAAGACAAGTTCTACAAAGTAAAGCATTAAAGGCATTGTATAAATTGATAGGCTTACGAGTATCGACGTACGTACCTAGTACCTACTACTAGTGAAAAAAAGGGTATTCCATGTGTTATGGTTGTTTCGAATGCCTGGTTTTGTGTACACCCTGTAGAATTTTATCATACTTCATTTATACAGAGCACCCTGTATATTCAAAAATATTTTTACCTAATTAGATTGATTCTTGGGTATAGAAACGTTGGGTTAGGAATTAAAACTTTATGAACAACCATTTTTTTTTTCTTGCATCACCCTATATAAGGAAATATTGTCCGAGTCCGATATTGCACTAAGTGGACACCCTGTATTATTATTTTGACGGCATCGGGATACATTTTTGTTCGAGGCGTGTTTTAAACGACTTTTGAGTGCAGATTAGGCGGGCGTGGCATTCAAAAAAAATTTCGCCTCCGCCGGGGAGCCTTTCCGTATTTCTCGGTTTTCCCGTCATCCGTTACCCCCCCAAGAAAATCATCCATGGACCGCCACTGCTTTCATCTACTTGTAAAGGTGAAGGCTATTATAGGTGGGGTGTCAATACAGGATATTAATAAATAATGGGATCAAACTTCTAGGATAAATAGTACTCATTAAAATAAAAAAAAAATTAATAGAAACATGGGTCCGCAAATGCTTAGTTTTAAAGATACAGGGTGTCAAACTTTAAAAAAAAAATATTTTTTTTTTCTCAAAAATCCCTCTGCCGATTTTCTTTAAATTTGGCAGGTTTGTTTGTAAAAACAAAAGGTAACTTTTGACTCAATAAGATTTACCGTTATTATTCCAGTGGCGCCCCAGAGGACAACTACGTTGGTAAAAATTTTAAAAAAATGGCACGTCACTGTTTTTTAATATTTGTTTTAGATAAAGCAATTAATATAAAAAACAATTTGTCTCTTGATTTTTTTTCGTATCTCTCTTATAGTTGCCCTCTAGAACGCCACTGGAATAATTACGGTAAAACGAATTGGGTCAAAAGTTACCTTTTGTTTTCACAAACAAACCTGCCAAATTTAAAGAAAATAGGCAAGGGGATTTTTGAGCAAAAAAAAATTAAATTTTTTAAAGTTTGACACCCTGTATCTTGAAAACTAAGCATTTGCGGACCCATGTTTCTGTTAACTTTTTTTTAAATTTTCATGAGTACTATTTATCGTAGAAGTTTGATCCCATTAATTATTAACACCCTGTATATAAAAAAACACCCTGTACTTGAACAATAACTTATATAAAGTAAAGTCAGAATTTGTAAGATTATGCACTATTTGTCATATTACCTTTACCTCAGTGGCGTAGCCAGGATTTTGTCTTGGGGGGGGCAAATTTGCAGGAAGCGTCTTTTGCGGCCCTACCGCGACCGCTGCCGGAGGCGGCGCGAAATTTTTGGGTGCCACGCCCCTTTTTCAGGTTTCTTTACGCTATTTTTGGGACTGTTTATCTTAATTTTGAAGAAATATTCATAAAATGTAAGGGTCTTGGGGGGGGCAAATGCCCCCTTGCCCCCCCCCTGGCTACGCCAGTGCTTTACCTTTCAACAGGAATTAGTAATGTTACTTTACCAAATTAGTAACATAATGTAACAAGTTATTCAAGTACAAACGTGTGGACTGTTGCGGAACTTATGAGTGGATCTCTGCGGGACGAGCGCAGCGAGTTCCGCAGCCATCTATTCATCAAGTCCCGCAGAGGTCCACCCATAAGTTCCGCAACAATCCTCTTATTTGTACTTGAACAATATATAAAGTCAGAATTTGTAAGATTATCCACTTTTTGTCAATTTGCCTTTCAACAGGAATTAGTAATGTTATTTTACCAAACTAGTAATATATTGTGATAAGTTATTCAAGTACAAATGAGTGGATTGTTGCGGAACTTATAGGTGGACCTCTGCGGGACGAGCGCAGCGAGTTCCGCAGCCATCTATTTTATCAATATGTTGTTTAATTACGATACTAAACATTCACCCCAATTTTCCATTACCTAATACCTACCAGTTGGCATATTATGTTTAGTTTACTGTAAAAATAAAAAACTAAAAGAAATAACTAGGACATGGAAAACATTTTTATTTGTTGGAAATACCTAGGGGAATACTGAACAAAACTTGATGCTTTTCAGCTGGAAATAAAATTTAGTTTTTGGAAATGCCCTGGAAATATCTAGGAATATTTAGAAATACTTGGAACTACCGCGAAATACTTGAGAATGCTGTCCAAATTTGAGAAGTATGCCTAGAAACTGGAAATCACTGTACGTTTTCTCGTGAGTGTTTGGAGATATTCCGATGAAAACAATTCAAGAGCCGGGAATAGACAAACATTTAGACAGAAAAATTTGAGAATTGGAAAGCAGAAATTTAGTTTCGCGCGTAAAAGTTACGTTTAACATGGCGGCTTCCAGTGACGTCAACTGTTCGTAAACTAAGGTTAAAGGTAGTTTACACTGATCGTGAATCCATTGTCCACACTTCGTGGTTCACTCATGAGTCGTGGAACGATTGGTTCACGATCAACTCACATCACGCCACGACTGATATTAAACTACCAAACGGGTCTATATACAGTGTGTAAAAAGTCCCGGAACAGTCAATTATTTCGAAAATGGTGCACAGTATGAAAAAACTTTCCATATAAAAGTTGTAGGTCTTAATAAAATCTATTAAAATATGACTTTTGTAATTATACGGGGTGACCCAAAAAGTTGTGCAACACAAAACTTTATTTTTTTTTTTAATGGAATGACCCTTTTTTAGTTACATTTTCTAATTCCTCTAGAGATTCTAAACAACAATTATGAAAAATGTCATATGGCTAAAACCATTAGTTTCAGAAATAATTTGAGTTGAAGGACATAAATACGATAAGTACGATATTAGTCATTGATATTAGTGGATATTACCTACATTTTGCATTTTTACAAGCTGAGTTCAAAGATTTGAGGAAACTGGGATTGCAACAAGGGCGTAGATACTTTACATTTCTGGGGGGGGGGGGGGGGTAAAGTCAGGGATGGCTGGGGAAGGGGGTGGTTCCTTAGTACTATTATTTAAGTAGTTACACACTTTTTTTAATTTCCCAAGCAGCACTCCCATGTTGGGCCAATATTGGAACAATAACTACGACTTATTGGCCCAAGTCAGATTCTCTATGTTAGCCCAATAAAAAACGTGGACAATCTGCAATACTTGTCCAAGAACGTATGTCAATATATACCCAAAAACAAATACCAACGTTGGTACAATAACGTAACCAAATGTTGGCCCAAAAAGAAATAATCAATATCATATCAAGAACTTTATGCAATATAGAGCCAATTGAAATTACCAATATTGGCCCAAAGACGTATGTGAATCTTGGCTTAATATTATATTTAATTAAGGTAACGGACCAATTATAAGGACCGGCTGAGAAGTTTTTTCTCTCTGCCGGACCATCCGTGGACCCGTTTCGCTGTATCACATCTCATCAGCACGGTTAAGTCCCGCCAGGGTCTCGCAGAGAGAAAACAACCAATTTTTGACTTCATTCCGGAACCAGGTAAGACAGGTAAAGTGAAGACAGAGTCTCCATCTATTTTTTGGTCGGCATACCAAGTGCGTACATTGTAACCCTATATTGGACCAACATTTTCAATTCAGAAAATCTAACCTTGGTAAAAATTAGTATGTAAATATTGGCCCTTCATTGGGTTTTTCAAAAAGTATCAATATTGTCAACAAATTGAAAATAAGTATTGAGTGTACAAAGTTTTTGAAGTGAATTTAAATATCAATAAAAAATTGAATGCCAATATTGAATTAATATTATATTACAATATTGTTTCGATAATATAAAATGTAATATTTGGCCAATATTTCATAAATCAATATTGTAGTGAGAAGTCTTGGGCCAATATTCAAATTACTGAAAAATTAATTAATCTATGGAAACAATATTGGTACAAGATTATTTTTAAATATTGTTTCCACATAGTTAAAACTAACGTTGCCCCAATATTGGTATTGTGTTGATTTAGCAACAAAAATGAATAAATATTGGCCCAACTGAAAAACGATGTTTACCCAATATTATGTGCTACTTGGGTTATAATGCTAGTTTTAATCAGTTTGACAATTGACAGATGACACATCGCTAAAAATCTACCAACTTTAGTCGCTGAGTTCATTTGGCTTTGCACTCTACGGGTCACTCCATTAAAAAAAAAATGAAATTTTGTGTAGCACAACTTTTTGGATCACCCTGTATAAATACAGAAGTCTTACTTCAATAAATTTTATTAAGACCTTCAACTTTTATACAGGAAGTTTTTTTATATTGTGCACCATTTTCAAAATAATTGACTGTTCCGGGATTTTTTACACACTGTGTAGAGGAAAGATTGTCAGATTGCGCTTTTGTGAATCCTGATGAACTATTAAAAACACAAATGTCACAATATGGCACTAAATACGGAAACACCACATAATAACCGCTTTCAATGCAGTAGAAGGTTCAAGCCTCAATGGTTCAAGCCTCGGTTCAAGTTAAGCGATTCTTTCTGACAGTTTACAAAGTGTCAGAGGCTCTTGTGACCTTAACATTGTATTTACAGACAGTTGAGGCGATTTTCAGCCTGAACCGCTTTCGGGTGCAAAGTGCGAAGCTCCTAAAACACTTCACACCTGTCATACTCCATGTCTTTTACACTCGAACGCTTGAAACCGAATGGGGTAAACTGTTTGTTTGCACTTTTTGTCAATTTGCCTTTTAACAAAAATTAGTAATGTTACTTTATCAAACTAGTAACATAATGTGACAAATTATTCAAGTATAAACGTGTGGATTGTTGCGGAACTTATGGGTGGATCTCTGCGGGACGAGCGCAGCGAGTTCCGCAGCAGAGCTGAGAGTAGCAACAAAAAATAGTTACTTTACTTTAACGAGTTACTAAAAGTAACGCGTTACTTGGTAAGCTCGTTACTTTTCAGATTGATTGATAAGTAATTGTAACGACGTTACTTTCCTGAAGTAACTGCAGATCGTTATTTTGTTGAAGTAACGAGTTACTATGAAAGTAGCGCATTACTATGAAAATAACGCGTTTATATGGAAATAACGCGTTACTAGTTACTATGAAAGTACCCGCGTTCTCTCAATTTGTTTATCATCTTCTTTACAAATAATTAACGATTGAGGAAAAGGAAAATAAGTAATCCAAAAACTTTGTATGTCAAATAAAATGTGGGTAGTACCTACAGAAAACTTGTTTTGAAAGCTCAAAATAATCATTTTAATTTTGCAACAAAACTCTTCCACATAGTCGGACTCACAAACTGGAAACATATTGGCATTTCGTATAGGTCTTATTTGATTGTTTGGACGGCTGTGTTGGTGAGTCAAATTAAGTAATAACGCAATTTTCGACGTAAATAGTTATTTTTGGAGTAACGCGTTACATTAAAAGTAACGCTTAATTCAAAAGTAGCGCTTTATTTCAAACTAACGCGTTGAGGTAACGGATTACTTTCAAATAACAAGTTACTTTTAAGTAACGAACTACTCCTAAAGTAAAGAAATTACTTTCAAAGTGAAGAAGTTATAATAACGCGTTACTTTCCAATAAGTAACGAAAATAACGTTATCATCATTCAAAAGTAACTGTAAATTTTAAGTAACGAGTTATTTTTAGGCAGAAGTAACTGTAAAGTAACGCGTTATTTTTTTCAAGTAACGATCCCAGCTCTGTTCCGCAGCCATCTATTTAATAATATGTTGTTTAATTACGATACTTACTCACTCAAATGTGCGTTTTTCTCATTAGTTTAAAAATTACACGTTTCAGGTGAATGTCTTACTTCAACAGTTCAACAGTATATTGGTGATTAGATGGCTGCGGAACTCGCTGCGCTCGTCCCGCAGAGGTCCACCCATCAGTTCCGCAACAATCCACTTATTTGTACTTGAACAATAACTTATTATATAAAGTCAGAATTTGTAAAATTATCCACTTTTTGTCAATTTGCCTCACAACAGGAATAAGTAATGTTACTTTACCAAACTAGTAATATATTGTGATAAGTTATTTAAGTACAAACGAGCGGATTGTTGCGGAACTTATGGGTGGACCCAGCCATCTATTCACCAATATTTTGTTCAACCTGATTCACTCAGTTGAAAATTTCTCTCATTAGTTTAAAAACCACACGTTTCAGGTGCCTTATTTGAACAGTTTAACAGTATATTGGTGAGTAGATGGCTGCGGAACTCGCTGCGCTCGTCCCGCAGAGGTCCACCCATAAGTTCCGCAATAATCCACTTATTTGTACAGGGTGTTTTTTTATATATTGAATGTCAGAAATGTGATATTTTGCATGCTTCCAGCTTTTTTCAAATGGGATGCCCTATATTCCATTCCATATTCTTGAAGAGCACAATGCCCCCCCCCCACTGTATCCGCCACTGAGGCCTGCAAACTTATGATTTTGTGTTTTAAATACTAGCAATTCTTGAAGCCACCACATAGTCAAGAACTAATGAAAGTTTACTCATTAGATAAGAATTCTGTGCGTAAATTTTCTTTTAAATATAATAAGTATATGATATTCGTTTTGTCTTTTATCAGGCTATATGGACACTTAATATTTTGTTACAATTATAAATAGACAATACTAGAATTTTCGGGTACTCATGGCGGATATCTTGTAAAAATTCTAAATTAAACGATAACAAAGGCACCATTATGTTGTTGCGATATTATACTAGATTTCATAGCCTTTGAAAAACGAAAAAGATTTATGTATATTCGTTATTGAAGGCCTCGATTTCTTTTTAAAATTATTTACAATTTTTCTTTCTAAAAATGATGTCATTTAAAATCTTATAATTAACTCTATAGCACATGAACACCTAAGTATTTGTATTTTAAATTTGATTACTGACCGAGTTATATTTAAGTCCTTATATTGTTAGTTTAGGTTTGCAAAATGAGAAAACAAAAGTAATATTTTCAAATCTAGATGTTAACTATAACAGAAACTTACATATTAATCATCTATATTCCAGTCAGTAGTCAGTATTAAATAATTCTACAATAATATTTTATTTCTATGACTAATTTAACTATTTTTTGTAATTCGAAAAAGGATATGGGACCACACATTTTATTTGAGAGGCAAAATACATTCAAATTTAACCCTGTGCTATTCGGTTTATGGTCCATTTTTATACAATTCCACAATTTGTAAAATTCCTAAGGAATTGATGTGAACGTAATGGGAAACTCATTCCAAAAGAAATAATATTCTGTTTCTGTTCTATTCATCAAAAATTTGGACTATTGGATGTTTGCGAAAGTATTATTCAATAAATCAAGAGTCGGTAATAATCAATCTATCTGTTCCTATTGATGATTTTTATTGTTCAATGCTTATTGGAACATGTTCCTGGGCCTCATTCAACCTCAGAAATGTCAGCCAATTAATTTAGAAGCGATAATCATATGAATTTGAACTATTCCTGGTTCTTGTTCGCATTTAAAAAAATTGTGAAGCTCATATCAACGAGAATTTGGACCAACAAATGTTTAGAAAAGCATTATTTTAAGAATCAAGAGCCGATAATAATGAAAATTTTAACTTTTCCTGGCTCTTGATTGCATTTAGAGAAATTAAATACATCTTATCTAAATCCACTACTCCATTAATTATGAGTCAGATTTGTTTCATTCTGTAGAAGACTAATAATTTATCGCATCAACTTCTTCAAAACTACAGCATAGAGTGAGAAACAACTGAAATTCAGACTTCATTTCACAAAACCAAAGAAAAAATATCCTTCACATATAACATCACAGGTTTCCACAATTGCTACTACGTTCACACCATCATATAAGTTAAAACTTTCATATTATATCATTTAAAAATTCTATCTACAATAATAAATAAAGCATATACCTATTATAATGGATGGTGATGGTATTATCGATCAGAAAAAAAAACTATTCTAATATTTGCTAGAGCCATCCAGCGTTATTATGTCCACTAAGCGGTATAATGCCTGGCAGTTTCGGTAAGATGGCCTGATTGCTCCTAAATTCCTCATCTGGTGTCTGAGTGGAACCCGTTGCCGGATTGCTAGACGACGAAGTGTAGAGCAAAGGCTCTCTGGAAGAACCGTTTTCCCCTGGAAGACTAGGGATGTTCGTTACGACGCTTTCTTCTGAAACAATTTACGATTTAAACACTGAAACAACAAATTATTATAATTACCAGTTGTTGATGGAGTGAGTACTGGTCGAGCTACCGGTGGTACTTCAATGGAATCTTGTTGCGATTGGGTTTTTTCGTGCCTGGAAACCGTGCCAACTTCGGGAACCCGCGTCGGTACACTGGAAGCTCGCTTCAGCACCTGAGGGATTTTTTTCGTAGAGCAAAATTTCTTTGTAATGTTTTCACTTGGTACTACAACAGGGCTGGTGTTACGGGACGCTGAAAATTTTTTGCGTTTTTTCTTCAGGAGGGCCAACCCGTGAGCGAGCCCGTGCAGTTCGGGTTCGTGGTCTCTGCTCGTGTTTTCGATGCTGGAACCCGAACCGCTCATTGAATTGTTTTCATCGGAAGCAGGGCTGTTGCTGTGGCTGTGATTGTGGCCGTTTTCTCTGCAATTGTTGCAAACTGAGTCCTCAGATCTGGATCTTCCGATTAGTCTGGACACTTTACCACTTTTGGCTGCTTCGATTAAAGTATTCCAGCGGCGTTTGTGGGAATGGCTTCGCTTCATATGCAACCTAAACACGATATATTATCAATACACATGTTGTTACAGCTCGACTTTATACGAGCTTTAGCTGCTAACAAATAAAAATTACACTTTTAAAAAATGAATATGACAACTTCTTTGAAATGTTGTAATGATTTACTGAATTACCTTTAGAAATTGGGCTTTAATAAACAAGAATTATAATACAATGATAAGAAACTAATGGCAATGACAAATACAATATGATAATGATTGTAACAAAAACTATATACAGAAGATATCAAAAGTTACACGTTCATTCTCCCCAGGTTTATTTTTTAACATAATTGTCAAGATATTTGGAAGATTGTCTAGTTTTTGATCTACGACAATTCTAGTTTTCTAGTTGTGGCTCACAGTGAATAAGTTGAGACTGGTTTATTGTCTTTTAAGGACTACAATCTCTGAAAAGTCAAAGTCAGGGTATCACGAGGAACCATGAGGACACAAAATCTCGAGAAAAAAAAATTTGAAATTTCATCGTTTTAGTAAGAAGGTAGGTACCTACCTTATGATTTTTTTGGAAAACTTTGAAAGGTCATAACTTTTTTTCTATTATAGATAGAAAGCTGAATCTTTCACTGAAAATTATCCTTTTCAAAGGACTACAATCCCTGAAAATTTCAGCTCATTAGCACTTATAGTTCCCGAGATAAAATCGTGTTAAGCAATTGGGGTGATTTATCAATTTTTCAATTTTTCTGAGTGCCTTTTTCCATAGATTTCGGCTTCAAATCTGAGAATAATTTAGTTTATGGAGTTCAGGGTATCACGAGGGACCATGTGGACACAAATTCTCGAGAAAAAAAAATTTGAAATTTCATCGTTTTAGTAAGAAGGTACCTACCTTATGATTTTTTTGGAAAATTTTGAAAAGTCATAACTTTTTTTCTATTATAGATAGAAAGCTGAATCTTTCACTGAATTTTATCCCTTTCGAAGGACTACAATCTCTGAAAATTTCAGCTCATTAGCACCTATAGTTCCCGAGATAAAATCGTGTTAAGCAATTGGGGTGATTTATCAATTTTTCAATTTTTCTGAGTGACTTTTTCCATAGATTTCGGCTTCAAATCTGAGAATAATTTAGTTTATGGAGTTCAGGGTATCACGAGGGACCATAAGGACACAAAATCTCGAGAAAAAAAAATTTGAAATTTCATCGTTTTAGTAAGAAGGTACCTACCTTATGATTTTTTTGGAAAATTTTGAAAGGTCATAACTTTTTTTCTATTATAGATAGAAAGCTGAATCTTTCACTGAATTTTATCCCTTTCGAAGGACTACAATCTCTGAAAATTTCAGCTCATTAGCACCTATAGTTCCTGAGATAAAATCGTGTTAAGCAATTGGGGTGATTTATCAATTTTTCAATTTTTCTGAGTGCCTTTTTCCATAGATTTCGGCTTCAAATCTGAGAATAATTTAGTTTATGGAGTTCAGGGTATCACGAGGGACCATGAGGACACAAAATCTCGAGAAAAAAAAATTTGAAATTTCATCGTTTTAGTAAGAAGGTACCTACCTTATGATTTTTTTGGAAAATTTTGATAGGTCATAACTTTTTTTCTATTATAGATAGAAAGCTGAATCTTTCACTGAATTTTATCCCTTTCGAAGGACTACAATCTCTGAAAATTTCAGCTCATTAGCACCTATAGTTCCCGAGATAAAATCGTGTTAAGCAATTGGGGTGATTTATCAATTTTTCAATTTTTCTGAGTGACTTTTTCCATAGATTTCGGCTTCAAATCTGAGAATAATTTAGTTTATGGAGTTCAGGGTATCACGAGGGACCATAAGGACACAAAATCTCGAGAAAAAAAAATTTGAAATTTCATCGTTTTAGTAAGAAGGTACCTACCTTATGATTTTTTTGGAAAATTTTGAAAGGTCATAACTTTTTTTCTATTATAGATAGAAAGCTGAATCTTTCACTGAATTTTATCCCTTTCGAAGGACTACAATCTCTGAAAATTTCAGCTCATTAGCACCTATAGTTCCCGAGATAAAATCGTGTTAAGCAATTGGGGTGATTTATCAATTTTTCAATTTTTCTGAGTGCCTTTTTCCATAGATTTCGGCTTCAAATCTGAGAATAATTTAGTTTATGGAGTTCAGGGTATCACGAGGGACCATGTGGACACAAATTCTCGAGAAAAAAAAATTTGAAATTTCATCGTTTTAGTAAGAAGGTACCTACCTTATGATTTTTTTGGAAAATTTTGAAAGGTCATAACTTTTTTTCTATTATAGATAGAAAGCTGAATCTTTCACTGAATTTTATCCCTTTCGAAGGACTACAATCTCTGAAAATTTCAGCTCATTAGCACCTATAGTTCCCGAGATAAAATCGTGTTAAGCAATTGGGGTGATTTATCAATTTTTCAATTTTTCTGAGTGCCTTTTTCCATAGATTTCGGCTTCAAATCTGAGAATAATTTAGTTTATGGAGTTCAGGGTATCACGAGGGACCATGTGGACACAAATTCTCGAGAAAAAAAAATTTGAAATTTCATCGTTTTAGTAAGAAGGTACCTACCTTATGATTTTTTTGGAAAATTTTGAAAGGTCATAACTTTTTTTCTATTATAGATAGAAAGCTGAATCTTTCACTGAATTTTATCCCTTTCGAAGGACTACAATCTCTGAAAATTTCAGCTCATTAGCACCTATAGTTCCCGAGATAAAATCGTGTTAAGCAATTGGGGTGATTTATCAATTTTTCAATTTTTCTGAGTGCCTTTTTCCATATATTTCGGCTTCAAATCTGAGAATAATTTAGTTTATGGAGTTCAGGGTATCACGAGGGACCATAAGGACACAAAATCTCGAGAAAAAAAAATTTGAAATTTCATCGTTTTAGTAAGAAGGTACCTACCTTATGATTTTTTTGGAAAATTTTGATAGGTCATAACTTTTTTTCTATTATAGATAGAAAGCTGAATCTTTCACTGAATTTTATCCCTTTCGAAGGACTACAATCTCTGAAAATTTCAGCTCATTAGCACCTATAGTTCCCGAGATAAAATCGTGTTAAGCAATTGGGGTGATTTATCAATTTTTCAATTTTTCTGAGTGCCTTTTTCCATAGATTTCGGCTTCAAATCTGAGAATAATTTAGTTTATGGAGTTCAGGGTATCACGAGGGACCATGAGGACACAAAATCTCGAGAAAAAAAAATTTGAAATTTCATCGTTTTAGTAAGAAGGTACCTACCTTATGATTTTTTTGGAAAATTTTGATAGGTCATAACTTTTTTTCTATTATAGATAGAAAGCTGAATCTTTCACTGAATTTTATCCCTTTCGAAGGACTACAATCTCTGAAAATTTCAGCTCATTAGCACCTATAGTTCCCGAGATAAAATCGTGTTAAGCAATTGGGGTGATTTATCAATTTTTCAATTTTTCTGAGTGCCTTTTTCCATAGATTTCGGCTTCAAATCTGAGAATAATTTAGTTTATGGAGTTCAGGGTATCACGAGGGACCATGAGGACACAAAATCTCGAGAAAAAAAAATTTGAAATTTCATCGTTTTAGTAAGAAGGTACCTACCTTATGATTTTTTTGGAAAATTTTGATAGGTCATAACTTTTTTTCTATTATAGATAGAAAGCTGAATCTTTCACTGAATTTTATCCCTTTCGAAGGACTACAATCTCTGAAAATTTCAGCTCATTAGCACCTATAGTTCCTGAGATAAAATCGTGTTAAGCAATTGGGGTGATTTATCAATTTTTCAATTTTTCTGAGTGCCTTTTTCCATAGATTTCGGCTTCAAATCTGAGAATAATTTAGTTTATGGAGTTCAGGGTATCACGAGGGACCATGAGGACACAAAATCTCGAGAAAAAAAAATTTGAAATTTCATCGTTTTAGTAAGAAGGTACCTACCTTATGATTTTTTTGGAAAATTTTGATAGGTCATAACTTTTTTTCTATTATAGATAGAAAGCTGAATCTTTCACTGAATTTTATCCCTTTCGAAGGACTACAATCTCTGAAAATTTCAGCTCATTAGCACCTATAGTTCCCGAGATAAAATCGTGTTAAGCAATTGGGGTGATTTATCAATTTTTCAATTTTTCTGAGTGCCTTTTTCCATAGATTTCGGCTTCAAATCTGAGAATAATTTAGTTTATGGAGTTCAGGGTATCACGAGGGACCATGAGGACACAAAATCTCGAGAAAAAAAAATTTGAAATTTCATCGTTTTAGTAAGAAGGTACCTACCTTATGATTTTTTTGGAAAATTTTGATAGGTCATAACTTTTTTTCTATTATAGATAGAAAGCTGAATCTTTCACTGAATTTTATCCCTTTCGAAGGACTACAATCTCTGAAAATTTCAGCTCATTAGCACCTATAGTTCCTGAGATAAAATCGTGTTAAGCAATTGGGGTGATTTATCAATTTTTCAATTTTTCTGAGTGCCTTTTTCCATAGATTTCGGCTTCAAATCTGAGAATAATTTAGTTTATGGAGTTCAGGGTATCACGAGGGACCATGAGGACACAAAATCTCGAGAAAAAAAAATTTGAAATTTCATCGTTTTAGTAAGAAGGTACCTACCTTATGATTTTTTTGGAAAATTTTGAAAGGTCATAACTTTTTTTCTATTATAGATAGAAAGCTGAATCTTTCACTGAATTTTATCCCTTTCGAAGGACTACAATCTCTGAAAATTTCAGCTCATTAGCACCTATAGTTCCTGAGATAAAATCGTGTTAAGCAATTGGGGTGATTTATCAATTTTTCAATTTTTCTGAGTACCTTTTTCCATAGATTTCGGCTTCAAATCTGAGAATAACTTAGTTTATGGAGTTCAGGGTATCACGAGGGACCATGAGGACACAAAATCTCGAGAAAAAAAAATTTGAAATTTCATCGTTTTAGTAAGAAGGTACCCCCTTATGATTTTTTTGGAAAACTTTGACAGGTCATAACTTTTTTTCTATCAAAGATAGAAAGCTGAATCTTTCACT